AGCAGAAGTTAGACCTAGAACATTCAGTGCTTTTATAGAAGCACGGTCTCGCTTGAGTATGTGAAGGAAAAAGGGCAGGCACATTGGAAAGAATAATATATTAGGCTTGATCTCAAGGAGGACCCAAGGAACTGGGATGTTCCTCTGGTAACATGAACATTTGTCTGACACATTAAGTTTTCTAAGACAGGCTTTAAGTGATGATCATAATGTTTTTGAGATTTTATTCATATTCACTCCAAGGAAACATCATCATAATAAACATACTTTGATACCAAGGGCCAACTGAAGAGTTTTCTAAAAAAATTTTTTCTAGGTAGATCTGCTAAGTCATGGTGTAAGTTGTCAAGAAGAGTGATATGGAAGAGACCTGAGGATGGGTGGAGTAGAAGGCTCCATTGTAGTATTGAGCCAGATTGATTAAAAAAAAATAGCACACTTTAGAATTTAGGGGTTTGAATTCATGCAACTTTTTAAGTGATCCCAGCCTATCTCCTACCTCTGCAACATAAAATCTGCTGTATTCTTGACTGGCTGCAGCAGTCTCTCAGACATTACATTTATTCCATTATGTAACATGAATAATATGAAAATACCTTATTTCCCACTGAGAATTCTGTGAGGTAATGACATGTTTTTAGCCCCCTCCCCTGGTGGGGAAGTGGTTGGAACCCTGCACTGTGAAGGTAAGCCAAACTGACTGCTTCAGTGCAAGTTCAACCCCTGCCCCAGAGGTGATAAACATTGTATAGCAGACCTCTCCTGTTGCATCCCTCAGCAGTATACTTTACTGATCTGCCTGTTCTGCTCCCCACTCTGTCTCTGGTGAATCCTCTCACTGCCTCTGCACCTCTGGTTGTACCCCTTTTCTGTATGCATAAATAAATAAATCTTTACCAAAAAAAGAAAAATAAAAAATAATGCTACATTTTTGTTGCTGTTCTTTCAACCCTAAGGGGTGACCTTTAGACAAAAAGCTGACAACTAAAGAGAACAGCATATTAGAAAAGCAGTTGCAAAATCATATGCTTGCAAGAGCCAGAAAGACGATATGAATGAGAAAAGTCTCCTGTTGGGGAATGTGGCATGGTGAAAAGTGTTTACCCATGTTAAGGGGACAGACTCCAGTGAAGCTGCCAAACAGAAAAGCAGGTTCAATCTTAGTCTGATTTGTCAATGGAAGACTTAATGGAATTATTAACTGTATCTTAAAAGTTAGTGACCAGGGCACTCCCTGGTGACACAACAGGTTAAAGCACAGCACTATGAAGCTATTGCAGCCACTGCAGCACAAGTTTGGTCCCCAGCCAGAGGGGTGACCCACATGGCACAGCAGACCTCTCCTGGCCCACCTGCTGCTCCCCTCTGCAGTGTTTTTCATGATCTGCCTGTTCTGCTTCCTATTCTCTCTCTGATGAACCCTCTTGCCACTTCTGCACCTCTGGCCTGTACCCCAGTTCTATGTAAGCATAAATAAATAAATAATAAAAACTCTTTTAAAAAGTTAGTAACCAATGAAAATCATTAAATACTTGGTGGGATGTACAGAAAATATGTGACTAACAGATGTGTGTGTAGGAACACAAGTGTGTATACCTGCTACTGCAGGAATGAAGACAGCACAAATCCAAAAATCCAAAAGAAATTGAGGCATACAAACTCTTTATCAGTAGTCCAGAAGCCTGGGTCACTGACATTAGAGCAGGGGCTTTAGAGGCAGGAAGCTTGGGGGTATTTCTAGATCTTTCATCTGTATCAGATATTTGAGCTTGACCCTTAGGACAATGATGCATCTCTGAAAGACATCAAACAGGAATGGCAGAATCAAAACTTCAAAGTCAGTTGAGCTCTCTGATCCCAATGGAGACTGATCATACAAACATCAGTGAGAAGGCTGCTGGGGAGATTTAAGTGGGAATGGGGAGGAAGAGAAATTGTGCTAAAATGATGCTCTTGGTGTAGAAAGAAGCTGATAGGCCCCGAGATATCTGGGAGATTAAATCCACAGTACTGGGAATGGGGAGAAAGACTGTGAGTGAGAAGGAAGAGGGAAGATGAGGAAAGACAAGGGCTGCCTTTCTGCAGAGAGTTCAAGTTCACAGAAGATTTATACCTCCACCAATATTCTACATAGTAGGTGATGTCACAAATGGTGAGTGTCAACATCCTGACGGTGTGTTAGCAGCTGGGAAGCAAGCAGCTATTTCAAAATGAATCTATCCTTAGTGTCCTATTACCTTTCCATGAAGAAAAGGTTCCTAACCTCTAGCTTTTCTCCTTTCTAAAGAATTAAAAGCTATCAGATGAAAATGAAATTTCGCTCATTATGCAAGTTAGTATATAGTCCCTTGTGTCATTGTATTGTGTCAGCATCTGCAATTGAAATGATCCCTTTTGGGACCCTTCCCAAGGAGATCTAGAAGTCTCAAAACTCAAGGAGTTCATTTCTTCCGAAGAAACCACCCCATTTATAAACTTGGTGGCTAAGTCAAATACAAAAATATGTACAATAGATCTTGCATTGTTCATCTCTGCTAGAAGAAAAATGCCACTAATGAGATCTATGAAGAATTATTCAAATCCACCACAGGGAGTGCCTACAAAATAAGAAACAAAAATAAAACAAAACAATTGGCTACATAAATTCTCTCTTTATTCCACACAATATCTAGGGACAAAATAATGGACTTTTCTCTATGATCTGCTAGTGCTTATAATTGATTTATCTTGTGGTTAAACAGAGATTTATTCACTAAAATTGTGACAGACAGGAGAATGCAATTTGGGTCTTGCCTCCTGTCTGTCTTGGGTATCACTTATCGGAACTGAAAATACAATGGAGTTGTATCATTATTTCTCAGTAAAAGTCTAGAATAACCCTCTTGGAAAATTTATCTTAGCTTTTAGACTGTTGTCAGTGACTGCCAAGCTTGTCTATGGGTCCATGACCTGATCTGATTCAGGGAGGAAGAGTTACCTCCCCTCCTTGATCCTATACTCCCACCATCTCCATGTCTGATTATTTTCTTGTTCACAATGCCGGCTGATTGGTACCAGACATTTTTGGGTGGATGAAATATTTCTTTATTTAATAGAGAGGTTTGTTTCTTGCTTAACATCTATATTCAGCCTGAGATAACACATTTAGAAATCTCTATCTACCTTAGTGGGAATATATATATATATATATATATATATTTTTTTTTTTAAGATTTATTTATTTATTCATATAGAACTGGGGTACAAGCCAGAGATGCGGAGGGTGAGAGGATTCACCAGAGACAATCGGGAGCAGAACAGGCAGATTGACGAAGTATACTGCTGAGGGGAGCAGCGGGCGGGTCAGGAGAGGTCTGCCACGCCATGTGGTTTCCTCCGGGGCAGGCGGGAATCGAACTCATGCAGAAGTGGCTTTAGCTTCTTAGTGTTGTGCTTTAACCCGCTGCACCACCAGGGAGGGCCCCTTAGTGGGAATATATTTTTAAAGTGGTCATATCCTAAACCATATTAAGGTTGCAATTTCAGGACCTAAAAATTAATAAGTCTCAGAGAAATGCAAAAAGTAAATGGCAAATGTACCTTGTCACTGATGTTTTCCCATACCTTCCTTTCCTCTCTAAAACTATACCTGGGAATGTCCTCCATTTCTCCAAATATAAGGAGTTGGACCTGAAATACTGATGTTGGAGTAAGACTGATTTTTATGGCCAAGCTGGACTTCTGTTTTCACTGGTATTTAACAGAGAACACTATTTTGTTTAATATGTATTATATTTACTAATCAAATAAATATCTGCTGATGGTGTTTTGCTTTATTTCTTGGCTAGACGTTCAACATGCATTTTTTTTTAATCTGTAACATAGATTAATACAATCCTGAATTTTCCATGGTAATACAACACTCTAGCACTTTGAAGGCTAGATTTTGCACTTCATTTGCAAGGTGCATGGTGAATATCCTTCATGATGTACCCTGAGCAAATGTTCAGTTACATTTTGTATTCTAAAGACTGACTTGGGGGCGAATTTGGACCAATCACATAATCAAATAATATATATGTCACAGTGAGGGCTCAGGAGAAGTGGTAGTCAAGAGTACCATTCAAGCATATTTGGACATGTTCTATAGTCCAGGGTCTTAAGCCTTACTCTAATCACATGGAGTGAACTTTTCCTATTTAACAAATCAAGTTGCTGAGGATTAGGTGAATCAGTCAGCAATACAGCTAATCAACTCGTGCCATTGAATCTTAGTCCATGTCTAGTCCTAAATTCCATCTTGTCCCAGGATAATGCACTGCACATAATCATTTGAAGCTCTTGCAGATGCCTAACTAATTTTTTTTTTAAGATTTATTTATTTCTGCATACAAGAGCTGGGGAGCAGGCCAGATATGTGGGGACTGACAGAATTCATTGGAGAGTAGAACAGCAGACTGACTGGCAAACTACTGAGGTGAGCCACAGGCAAGACAGGAGAGGTCTGCTGTATCACGCGGGTCACTTCTCTGGCCAGGCATCAAACTCGTGCTGCAGTGGCTATGGATAATGTCATAGTGCTGCATCTTAACATTTTGCGCCACCAGGGAGGCCCAGCTTTCTAACTCTATGTGCCTAGCAGCTTGCTTCTAGCTTTGCCAGAAGGAAAGGTCTGCTCTATGCATTTGACTTTGGGCAAATGTCTGCTTTGGATTAACGATGCGTGGTTTCATTTTTAAGGAATGTGACTATTTGAAGTTTATATCTTATGCATGTTAAATACAGGATTCTGAACAAACTTTAGTTTACTTTGTATTTGGAAGGTGGTAGCATTTCCTAACATGGAAAGATGCATTTTCTTTTGTTGTTTTTTCCCCCCAGGCTTTTTGAATTTCTGATTGTCACAGTTCATTTTAATTGAAAATTTAACACAGAATGACAACAGAATAATAGTCTTAGCAACTTTAAAACCTGGAACCCTATGAAACTGACACTTTTCCCTTTTCTTTTTCACTCCATAGGGGGGACATCATCAAGGCAGAAAGGCTTCCTAGGATGTATACGCTCCTTACACTTGAATGGGCAGAAACTGGATCTGGAGGAGAGGGCAAAGGTCACATCTGGAGTTCGGCCAGGCTGCCCTGGCCACTGCAGCAGTTATGGTAGCATCTGCCACAACGGGGGCAAGTGTGTGGAGAAGCACAGTGGCTACTTCTGTGATTGCACCAATTCACCATATGAAGGGCCCTTTTGCAGAAAAGGTACGCATGGCTCTTCTCTCTTCTGGTGTGCTTGTAGTTGTGCCTATAGGTCATGGTTGAGTCACAGTGACTCAGGCCATGAGACAGCCCTCAAACTGTCATTTCTTGACTGCTTATTTCTCCCTGGTTAGATAGTCCTCATATCTCCACAGAGTTACATGGACTCATTATCACCATGTATATACAAGACAACCTTTCTCTGGGAACTCCCCCCACGGCCTGGCCCCAGGTGAGCACTGGCAGAGATGGGCTCTCACTTCTGTTGGGTTCACTAGATTCTGAGAGTTCATTCATCTTTCCAGTCCACAAAGAAAATCAAAGTCCTAACACAACCTTCCTAACACAACCTTACAAATGCTTAAGCTAAACTAAATCATTTTTTAATAGGAAATGCATTGCTAATTTAGTAAAAGTGATATGCATGTAATAAAATTCCCTCATTCTATTGGGCATGTGAATGGGGTCTGAAGTTTTAAAGTCTTACCCACAAGTTCACATTTTCACCAGGGGACTGAGAATGGAACATAGGAGTCAGAAATTCCTGCACTCTAGCTCTGAGCTCTCTCCACATCCCCTCCTTATCTTATCAATACATTGTCTTGACAAAAATTAACCATGATGGATGCACCCTGGACAATGGTCATGGTGTAAACTCTCTAGATAAATTTAAGATAATTCCATAAGCCATAAAGTCTCATTGTTCAATATACTTTGTATTTTTCATTTTTTTTTTAAATTTGTGTGCAATACTTGCAAACAATATTGCCTTATGAAGTAATTAACTATCTTGAACCTCACTTTTGTTAATTTTAAATGGGAAAAACACGAGTTCAATGTTTATTTTTTTCTCCCAATCCACCCGAGTCCAACTCTATCTACTTCCATGCCCCACCCTTCTTCCATTCCCTCTGATCACCTTTATCATCTTCATTTTGCAATGTCAAATCTATTTTTCAAGAAGGACAAAATATTTGGTTTACTATTATCAGACATTTTAACTTTATGTTACTGTTAGAAAAAATGTCTGTTAGCCAAATAATGTAAATGATATTTCAAAGGACACATTTAAGCTATTAAAATAAAATATTTTATTCACTTTGAAACAGCATTTACACACAGACAATGATGGCAATTATAGAGAGAATCATTAAAATACATTTCCCAAGGCTCTCTACCAAACACTGCTCTCTGCAGTCCATCTTAAGTTTCTAACTTAAAAATTATAGGTGATAGAGAACATCCCGTATTGTCTTTGAAGAACTCTATAATTTAAATTTTTGGCTTATTTACAACAGTCTTTTTCCCAATTACTTTGAATAACTTGCTTGTTATTGATGGAAACATGTTCCTTGGGAGAAAAATGATGATACAAATTTAGGACCACTTATGTGTTGGGACCTGCCTGGGTGCTTGAAATAAAGCAAATCCTATCCCAGTAGACTTGCAATATGGACTAAGACACCTAAAGGGCTGTTAGACTCTTCACACTGCAAGAAATCTGGAACAATTGACCTCTCTGGTAGTACAGGGATTGAGTTGCAGCGCTATGAATCTATCGCTAGCCCCTTGAGCATGAGTTCAATGCCTGGCCAGGTAGCTGACGCACAGGGAACAGCAGAATTCTGTCTCACCTGTGGCTCCCCTCCGTAGTGTATTTCAGTGTATTCACCTGTTATGCTCCTCACTGTCTCTGGTGAATCATCTCACTATCTCCTTACCCCCCCCAACACTTCTGGCCTATATTCCAGCTCTTGTAAGCATAAATAAATAAAATAAAATATGAAAAAAATCCCCTGGAAAATTAGAATGTCATCCATAGACTGATTTAGAAAACAAGCAAATATAGAAGATACTGCCTGTTTCAGTTACTACAGCACACAAGCATTTTTTTTTTTTTTAAAACAGGATCAATACCCATGTCTACAGTGGAGAGAAAAAAAAGAACAGTAGAAACATTCTTTGCATTTCCACAGGGACATTATTCAAAAATTTCATAGCTCATATTATTCTAAATTTAGACTACTTTTTAACTGTCTTCTTTCTCTGAAACCGTTTCTATTAATTCCTTGATGCCCTACTACTGTGTTTTTGCCTGCATATGCTGAAAATTCCCCTTGCTCACGCTCAACTTTTTATTTTGATCTAACAGAGAATTACAAATATGTGTTTAGACTTTTCAGCTTGTTTTGCATCTCACTGTTTCCAAACTTTCCGCATACTCATAATTCTAAGGAAATGACTCTTTTTAATATTCAGCAATTGCACAATATGTAATATAAGCTTTATTCATCTGCTTTATAAAATTTTTTGAGGAGATATTAGTTGATGAGCTGTTTAACAAACCTTTTAGCTATACCAATTGTCTCTGGGAGATGTGGCTTAGAACTGAAATGGGGCCCTCCCTGGTGGTGCTTCGGGTTAGGATGCAGCACTGCAAGCTAGCCGCAGCTGCTTTCTGTGCTAGTTCGATCCATGTCCCAGAGGTGACCCACATGGCGCCGCAGACCTCTCCTGACACACCCGCTGCTCCTCTCAGCAGTGTATTTCATCCATCTTCCTGTTTTTCTCCCCACTGTTTCTGGGGAATCCTCTCACTGCCCCTGCACCTCTGGCTTATTCCCCAGTTCTGTATGAATAAATAAATAAATCCTAAAAAGAACTGAAATGGGTGTCATTATCTAGAAGATTCTCTACTAGTATATCTTTGGTTCTAGCAAATATGGCAGTTGAATTTGGCTTGCACATATTGGAAATATCTGGAAGGGAATCAGGGACATTTCCTATTACCAATGTCTGAGTTAGGATTATGTTGCAATAATCACTTCCTGTTTCTAAAACACTTCTGTTAGAACCTGACAAAATTTTAAAACAATATGTTAAGTCTTTAAAACAAATGGTTCCAAACAATTACATTTATGCAAAATCTTTAGAATAGGTAACTCTTTAATGACCATAATAGATTGGTGACTTCCAGGGTCTGGGAGAGAAGTGAATGGGAAATAGTTGAGCTTGAGTATGAGCTTTCTGAAGTTAGATAGTAATGATAGTTGTACAACTTTGTATGTAAAACAACAGCAACACCGAACTGTACATTTTTAAATGTTGGGAGGCTTTTATGGTACTAAAATTGCGTCTGGATAATAAAAAAAATAATCACACAAAATAAAAATTACATATTTGAATTTGGTTACCACATCCATGTAGAGAAAGAAATTAAGGTCAAAAAGGGGGAAAGGAAATAAAAAAAAAAATTTTGGCTGTCTGTACAGTTCTGACATTTATTGGTCAGTCACTAAATCTCTGAACTTTAGTGTTCTCTTACATTCAAATGTTGATATATTTCCCACTGGATTGTGGATAAAGAATGCATACTGTAATTGTTAATTACTACCAAAATTTATGATTAATATTTTCTTGTGCCATGGAAACATCCAACTCTGAGAATTATTGTCTCTGTCTCTCACACATCACACTTTAGGCTACCTTCCACTGCTGCAACTTTTTCAATACAATTCCCACCATTAGGTGAGATGCCCAGAAGATGTTGCTAATACTGGTGTTTGGCCCCACATAGCATGATGGTCATTAAGAAGCACTTTCATGTTAAGTTTTATTTATACTTAATTATTGGTTTTTAAATGTTCCAACAATTTAGTCAGAGAGTTTAAATATGATGAGAGAGCTCTTAGATTATAAAATATAAGAAACCATGACTGGTAGAATCCAACTGTTTGCTAAATTTCACTGTTTAGACAATAGCTAAAAAAATAAAATAAAAGCAATTAGGACTGGAGCCAAGGAAGAGGACAGAAATCAACATTTCTAATCTACAAATGCTGTTTGTTTTGATTTCCTCTTTTAACTATAAAGGAAAGTGCTTTCTCTCTATATACACACATACACACACATGTGTGTGTGTATGTATATGTATGTATGTGTGTATGTGTGTATCCACATCTAATACACTATTCATAATAGAATGTTCTGAATTATACTTGTATTTGAACACACATAAATGAATATCAAATAACAATTATTATTCTTTTAACTAGGAGATAGTAGCTCAAAATTCAGGCCAAATGTCCCCAAGGAAACTCACTAAAAGAAAGTACTTAGATCAAACTGATGATTAACTAGAATCTTCACTGTCACATGTCTCCACTGCATATCTTTGTAATCAGGAGTACTGATGTTGTAACCTGCATGATAAACGAAAAACTCTTTCTCTGAATCTTTAGTAAAAATGAACTAGTATTCCCAATATGCTAAGCAGTATGCATAAATATGCAACTTTAATTTTTTGGCACTGTTACAGGTTGTTAAGGAATTTTGACAAAGGCAGAACAAATTTGCAATAGAATTAGGAAGTTAAAAGCCAGGTTTGATTATGTTCTAGTTACCACCAACTCAATCAGAGAATTTCATGGGGGTATATAGAACATTCCACATATCATTTAGGAAAGAGAGAAAGTAATCATTCCAATATGGGTTTGTGTTGATTGTGCTGGTTTCAGGACGAAGCTTTGCTGCCAATCTCAGCTATGCTGGGAATCTAGCCTCCATATTACATTGTCAGACAGAGATAAACCTGAGAGTCTCTCAAAGGGCAGCTTTAATTGAAGGAGAGAGTATCTCCACATTTGGATAGATGATACATAAACATATAAATATATTAAAATATAACAGGTATAATTTATGAAGATACATAAATATATAAATATATTCAAATAACATACATACATACACATTAAGATATAAATAGGTTTTTAAAAATCACCATTGGAAGGTGGTCTAGGTTGTGATGAGTGAGTGCCAGAGATCATGATTTGGATTTCTAGAGTTGGATTTCTCAATGGAACAAAGAAATATTAATAAATTTATCTATATCTATCTATCTATCTATCTATCTATCTATCTATCTATCTATCTATCTATCTATCTATCTGTCTATCTACCTACCTACCTACCTACCTATCTAGCTAGCTATCTGATATTTATTTTACATCACTCTTCTTTTTCTTTAAGGATTTATTTATGTATGCATACAGAACTGGGGTCCAGGCCATAGGTGCAGGGGCAGTGAGAGGAATCACAAGAGACAGAATGGGGAGCAGAACAGGCAGATAGACAAAGTACACTGCTGAAAGGAGCAGCGGGCGGGCAAGGAGAGGTCTGCCGCGCCATGTGGATCACCTCAGGGGCAGGGATCGAAGTCATGCTGAAGTGATTTTAGCTTCTTAGTGCCATACTTTAACCTGCTGTGCCACCAGGGAGGACCGCACTCTTCATTATTGTCAATGCAAGTTTTCTCCTTTTGGGTATAGGCCCTGTAAAACTCCTACCCCTGCATCACCACTACAGTCCCTTGTGCTCTTCCCAGCTCCTGTTTTGACCCCTCTCCCTCCTCCTCCTCTGCAAAATGTCTCTGGTTTATAGTTTCTTTGTACTTTTTTTTTTAATGGTTATTCCTCCCACCCCATCCCACCCCCACCCCGTCCCTCATTTGGTGCCCCTATTTTCTCTTATAAGTGAAATCTTCCAATATGTTTCCTTTTCCTTCTGGCTTATTTCACTATGCCTCATCCCTTCCAGCTTCATCAATGTCATGAGTTTATCCTTTTTGATTTCTGGGTAATATAAAGGAATGTTAATCTTTAAGTACCAACTATAACATATATCCCTTATCCCCAGTTCATTAGGAAAGACATTCATATCTAAATTTGACAGAAGTGAACACTGAAGTTCATAAATATAGATATATGTTCTATATGCGTGTGTGTGTGTGCATATATATACATACAGATATATAGCAGATATAATCACATACATAGTATGTTTGTGTTATATACATACATACATATATACATATATGTATACACACCACACATACATGCATACATGTGCATGCCATTTATCTATATACAGATACTGTTGAGGTAGCTGTTATATTTTCCCTCTGCCAGATGAGAAAATAAGAGTCTCCACAGGACTGACTGTCTTGCCTGGAATCACGAACCAGTGTGAAATCCAGTGAGGCTTCAGCCAAAACTGGTGTGAGTTTCACTACAATAGAATAATAACTGTTGCAGAGAGAGAAATATGGAGGGGATGTTTTTGTGATTTGTGGCTCCTACTAGTCAGTTTGTGGATGTTCCACACACCTCCCCCACATGCACACATACTTGCCAGAACTGGCCAATGTACTATGCTACAGGAACCATTTCCATAGGAGAGCCTCTTTGCTTAAATCTTTGATATGGCTTTTGTGGGCAAAGTTGAATACCAATTCCCAGACATGTTCAACAGTGATTCTAGGAACAGGATATCACTGTCTTTTCTATCATTTGCACATATTCTTCTTCTTTTTCCATAGGCCTCACAGTTTAGGCAGCTCTGTAGAGAACACTGCTGCCTGTATCATGTGTGACTGACACCCACTTAGAACCCCCCTGACCAGAAACACACAGGCCAGTTTTGTGAGGATCTCAGTTTTGTTTTTCTTTTTGAAAACTTCAAATATTTATTTTAAATATTTTGTTTATTCATGCATACAAAAACTTGAATGAAGGCCAGAGGTGTGGTAGGGGAAGTGAGATTCATAAGAGAAAGAATGGGGATGTACAGAGAAAGAGTAGGGAACAGATGTATGTACTGTTCTGAGGAGATCAGGTGAGGCAGGAGAGGTCTGCTGCACCATGTGGATCAGCTCCCATCCAGGGCTCAAACTCATGTCACAGTGACTGGTGATAGCTTGATGCCTTTGAGACATTAACTCATGCACTGCCAAGGAGACCCCTGGTTTTATTATTTATTTGAAAAAAAAACCTGCATACAGAACTGGGGTCCAGGCCAGAGGTGCAGGGGCAGTGAGAGGCTTCACCAGATAACAGTTGGGGAGCAGAACGGGCAGAACAATAAAGTACACTGCTGAGAGGAGCAGCAGGCGGGTCAGAAGAGATCTGCCGTGCCATGTGGATCACCTCTGTGGTGGGGATCAAACTCATGCTGAAGTGGCTTTAGCTTCTTAGTGCTGAGTTTTAACCCACTGCACCACCAGGGAAGGACTGTTTTTGTTTTTTGTTGTTTTTTTTTTTAAGTGAAGTCATACTGCATGATGACATTACATATTTTTCAAGTGTGCATTGTTGAGAGTCAACATGTGTATATACTACATTAAGTTCACAACCAAATAGCTAATTCTCAACATGGACATGAGATGGTATCTTCTCTGTTATGTTGGAGGCATGGAGACTTTATCCTTTCTTCTCAAGTAATCAGCCTGGCATGTGGTAGTAATTCTGCAAATGTATGCTAGCCTGGATTTAAATGTCACAATGCAAATCTGAGCTATTTTCAATCTATGGAATTTTGTTCGAGGTGTGTAACCTCTGCACTTTCCCTTTCTCATTTGTAAACAAGAATGACATCTGCCACTTCAAAATTAATGTGGGAAGCATATTACACAATTCATGTAAAAACCCAAACATAGTGTTTGTTGCATACGAAATAATAAACTAACATTTTGCTAACCTAAACAGTTGACTAAATATTGACTAAATGGCTCAATGTGTTCTTTTCTCTCTTATATTTTTTCAGAGGTTTCTGCAGTTTTTGAGGCTGGCACTTCAGTTGCTTACATGTTTCAAGAACCTTATCCAGTGACGAAGAATGTAAGCTCTTCATCCTCAGCAATTTATGCAGATTCATCTTTACCCAAGGAAAATATTGCATTTAGTTTTGTGACAGCCCAGGCACCCAGTCTCTTGCTCTATATCAATTATTCTTCCCAGGATTCCCTGGCTGTACTGCTCTGCAAGAATGGTGAGTGTTGCAGGCATGAAATTTGGTGGAATGCCTGCCTGGGCTGGAGCACAGAACATACCTTGCATGATTTCAGCCTAAATTTAGTTCCACCTGGGAAATTTATGTTCAGTATCCAACCAAACCCTTGATTGTATTACCTATTGAGGAGTTGCAGTTGCTATTCAGGATCAGTGTCAGTTTGTTGCTGATATCTTAAGTGCATTGACTTTAATTTACTTCAAGTGTGTAGCAGTAATTCCATATTACATAATCTGTGATGGGATACATTAAGTGTAAAGGATAAGACTATAAGCATATCTGAATCTTAGAAAGATTCTTTTCACATAAATGGGGTCATCTTTGCTGTACCCTCCTTTACTCAGGGCTATTAAAGCAACTAGCATAAATATAGACTGTATTAATAGAAGCTTATTGCCTAGGTTTTGAAGAAGAATATGCTATGTATGGCCATGTGGAATATGGAACTTTATTCTGAAAATTGAATATTGAAAAAAAATAGATAATATGAACTATGCAAATTTTAGAGAATAAAGGGATGTAAACCCACTGCAGATAGGGATGCTGAAGGACGCCTGTTTTTATATCAAAAACTATCAAAAATGTTAGGTTTTCTTTCCACATGACTGATTTTCACTATGTGATATTGAGGGTTCTTGATATGGTCATAGTAAAGGGCACTATGTAATCAAATCCTAGGAGAAGGGACAGTTATCAGAAACTAAGAGGGCAAAGATGTGAACATCACTATAGCTTGGATAAAGAACAAGTAAGACTGAGGGTGATCAAGAATGTCTTTCCTTCTCTTATATTTTTCTGATATAATAAAATGAGTCCAGACTTTAGAACCATTGTCATCAGGTGGACTGTAGTAGGATTTAGAAGAAAGATAAGCTAGAGCAGGCAACATACTTTGTATTCTCTCTAAGTTTTAAATTAAAAATTTAGCTATTTCTCTTGTTCCCCTTTGTATTTATTTTTGCTTCATCTTTTTTTTTTTGATAAACCATGACATTGGAAATAAAGAATGATGTAAATAACTATATCAGTGATGAAAGCTGGTAGTTGAGTTGAATAAAAACTGAAATATTGTATTATAAAAGTGGCCAGATGTACCATCAGATCATTCTTTCATTGAAAGAGTGAAGTGGGCAAAGAAGAAAAAGAGAGAGACATTAGCATGATGGCTGGCCAATATAAGACTGTCTGGTCTTAAACAACCTACAAGAAAGAGGGAAAATCCAATGGACTGTTAGACTTCTTACTTATCAGAGGATTGTTGAATAATTAAGACCATTATAGTAAAAATTCTGTTTGTAAGCCATAATGGGTCGCTGAGATATGTAAGTTTGTCTGAGCAGAGTGAGGCATGTACGGAATGTTTAATGTAGACCAGCCAGCTATGTCTCGTAATCATCAGTCCAGAAATATTTCTTCTGAACTAGATGTTATTATATGTTTGGGCTATAATAAAATGGTGACAGAGTACTGAGATTCAAGATTTCCCTAATACATCTTTTTGATATTGTTCCACAGAACATTTGTCCTGAGAGTTGTACTCTGAATATGGATAAGGCATAACAGGGCTAATTATATAATACACACACACACACACACACCTATACATACATGTGTGTATGTGTGTATATATGATAAATATATGTGTGTATCAGTATATTCTCTCTATATATCTAACATTTTATATTGATAGATAGATAAAGATATAGATATTACTCTACATACCTAACATATACAAAGTATACTCTACAGAGCTATGTATTCTATATACTCTGTATATATGTTCTATTTTACAGGCTATATACCAAGTACTGTCCTCATTAATATACACAATATATATTTTTTAAAGATTTATTTATTTATTCATGCAGAGCTGGGGTACAGGCCAGAGATGCGGAGGGTGAAAGGATTCACCAGGGACAGAGGGGGGAGCAGAACAGGCAGATCGACAAAGTATACTGCTGAAGGGAACAACGAGCGGGTCAGGAGAGGTCTGCCACGCCATGTGGATCTCCTCCGGGGCAGGCGGGGATCAAACTCATGCGGAAGTGGGTTATGCTTCTTAGTGCAGTGCTTTAACCTGCTGTGCCACCAGGGAGGGCCATCTATACAATATTTAATCCTCTAAGCAACCCTGTGTAATTGGTAGCATTAATATATGGATAATTTTAGTTGTAGAAACTAAAGCATAATGATGTTAAATAATTTGTTTAAATCCTATAGCTTGTTAGGAACTGAGCTGGGATTCAAGTGCCCCTCTCAGAACATGGGAACATATTCTGTATTCTTAACCACAGCACTAATCTGAAAATGCTATGTATTTTGGGAAGCACATAGAGATTTAAATAAATTGAATTCATTTATTTTGGAAACCAGTCTTGAATTCTACCCTAGCCCCTATTTTCTTATATTCTGAAGCCTCACTTCATTGAAATCTCTACCTGACCCCATAGGCATTTGCATTTTTGAACCTGAGCTAACTGCTGGAAACTCATGCCTTGTCTGTTTGTTAAACTGTTTTAAACTTAGATTTCAGTATAAATTTTAAAATGTAGGCCTTTTTGCTCAGTCAGATTTAAAATAAATGGTAGCAGAAGTCATAATTTGTAACAGAATGACTCCCTCACTTAACTTCAGAAACTCTCTCTCTCTCACACACCCAAACACACACAAACACACACACACACACACATACATCATTGCTCTAGGGAACTTGTGTTAGTAGGCAGTGATGAATGACTCAGTGGTTTAGGGTCATGGACATTTCCTGCCTTCACCTTACACTACAGAGAAGTAACTGGCATGTGTTCTCTCAGTCATTCTTTCATTGACCCTCTTAGGCATTTACCATCAACAACTGGAGATCAATACAGATATTCAGGAATGGGTACTGTCTGCAGCAATAAGGATAAAAAGAAACTCAAAATTGTCTTAAATGTTCAGAAGGACAATTGTGAATGAATAAATTTGTCAGAATTCTCAATCTAACTAAACGTTAGATTTTGCCTAACTTTAAAATGAATCTCCTAGGCATTCAGGGTTTATAATGGTAGAGTAAAATGCCTAACCTGACAGCAAGTTCCTTGTCATTGTAGATATTCAAATAATTATTAAGTACCACTGTCTTGGAAGGAAGCATAAGAATAAGCAGATGACAAAGAAAAATAACCTCTGAAATTCTTTTTACTTACTTATTTTTTTCACATATATTTGCATTACCATTTGTATGATAATGTATAACATGCTATGTGATTGAAAGGCCTGGGATCGCACCTCCTTATATGAAAGGATCCACAGAATACCGAACACCAAAGCCACCATAGTTCTCCATCATAGTTCAGTTTTCCTCCTCTCCTTACCCTTGCTCCTTCCTTATCCCCATCTTGTGGCCTCAATTCTGCAGTCAGATTTCCAGAGTTTGTTATTGGCTTTATTCTATGTGACCCTTTGATTTTACTTTCTTTTTATAAAGATTTATTTATTTATGCATACAGAGATGAAGACCTCTGAATTTCTTTCGAAGTCTTATATTTTGATTTTGTTTTGTTTTCTAGTGTAGTATTACATTTATATTTTCTTTTGCTAGAGCTTCTTTTGCAGACTTTGGAATATCTCTATGAGGAACTATGTTATAAAGAGTTAGGGATATTTCTAATGTAATTTTGCTATATTTCCATGAAAAAAGTATCTCTGAAAATACAAGTGGAAATTAAGACTACTTGTAGATTAAAAAAAAAAAAGGATAGGAAAAAATAGAGTTAACTGAGGAAAAATTTCCTCTTGAATGGTTTTGTAATAAGATTGATGCACACCTCTCTGGGATGAAGTTAAGAGGCTTCTGTTCATGGAGGTATCTTGACCTTCTTTTGATTTAAGACACCTTTGGGAATATGTTAAAAATCAAAATGAAAGGGTCACTCTTAAATGGAGTTTAAGAAAAAAAGAAAATGCCCACAGCTGTGTCAAACAACAGTGACTCTAATTTCAGCTCTCTGGGGGAAGAAAGCTATAGATACAGGTGAAGGGGATGTGTGAATACTGAACATTTTTTGGCTTGCACATATATTTAATATGAATTTCTAAGCCAGAGGCTATAAAAGCAACGTGACTCGAAGCGGCACATGTGTGTTTCGCATCCTAGCAGGGGTTTGACTTGGCAGGCTTAGAATTCTCTTTTGTCCTTTACCATTTTTCTTGAATTTTGTCCAATAGACTTGATCAGGTTAAGCTATTGCTGTCTTTCACAAAATAAGTCCTTCTTCCTCGATGAAGAAAATCATTTTAATTTCTAAGATGAAAGAATGGAGGAAGAACAGGAGGCTGTTGGGGACAAAAAGTCCTTAGGCATGAGAATGTGTTGTGGTTCCATGTCTGAGTCTTTAAGGAGACTAGGGCCTTCTCAAAGAGGTAGTGGTTGGAGGAAGGGGCCATTAAAAAGAAGAGACAAGAGGCCCTCCCTGGTGGCGCAGAGGGTTAAAGCACTGCACTGAGAAGATAAAGCCATTTCCGCATGAGTTTGATTCCCGCCTGCCCC